CCTGCAGCGCATGCTCTGCTCTGCTAGAACTGCCTGCAGGTGTTTACAAAACCTATCAGGCAAACCGAATCCAAGCCTTCTCATTGCCGTATTGTGGGGGAGACTTATTAGTGTTGGTTTGTGCCTATCTTCGGTGACCTGCAGCTCATACTCTGGTCGAGCTTTGCTGGCGCTTACCGCCTTAAATCAGGCAGACCGAATCCAAGCCTCCTAATTGTTGCATGTTGAGGGGAGGCCTTATTTTTCTCTATTTCTCTATCTCCGGGCATTCCTACCTCTCCCATTTCACTTCTATCTTCCAGCATTCCCATTTCTCTTTTACTTCACTTCCAAACTTCTGTTTCTCTTATCCCCGCAGCTTCCCGGCACCTCGCCGCTTCAGCCCGCGCGCCTCTCTCATCTGCGCAGCTTCCCGGCTTTGCGCGGCTCGGCTTTGCGCGCTCCGCGGTCTCCACGCTTAACCCTTTCGCGTCTGAACCACGGCCTACGCCAGCGTTCCCTTATCTATTCACGCCCCGTGCTCTCTCTGCACGCGGCGGCTTCCGCGAGTAACACAGCGTAGCTTGCGTCTCCACCACTAGGATTCAATCTAAGTTCCCCGGGCTAGCCTGGCGAATTCAACCCAGCGTACGTCTCCGCCCCACGGTTTGGCTTCCCGTCCTTTGCTCCCCGGGCTAATCAGACGGATCCCAACCTGGCTTACGTCTCAGCTTCTAGTTTCAACTTTTCGCCCCCTATTCCCGGGCTAACTTGAGAACCCCAAAGTGGCTTTCGTTTCCGCCTCGGCCTGCCCCCCGCGGCTTCAATTTCCCTAACACAGTCCGCGTCCGAGTCTGTTTGTTCTAGCTTTCACTTTCGCTTTCGACCTTAGAGATTTCTCCCAGCTTCCCCCCGTAGTCCGAATCCGAGTCTATGCCTAGGCTTTCAATAGCTTCTTCCGGCTCCTTTTTCGTCCGGCTTTTCCCTAGGCTGTTTCGAGTCTATGCCTAGGCTTTCAATAGCTTCTTCCGGCTCCTTTTTCGTCCGGCTTTTCCCTAGGCTGTTTGCTAGTTTCTCTCTCCGGTATTTTCCCATTTCTTCCCGTTTCTTCCCTCCTAAGTTTGCTATCCGTCCTAGGTTTCCTATCCGAGCTAGGTTTCCTATCCGAGTCATTTCTTCCCTCCTAGGTTTCCTATCCGAGTCATTTCTTCCCTCCTAGGTTTCCTATCCGAGTCACGGCACCATTATGTCGCTCCCCCTCTTCGTGGGGGAACGACACTGAACCCTGCGCTGTTCTTTCGTCTGCTCGGCCCTCCCCGGGTTTGCTGCTGGTTCTTCCCGGGTTGGCTACTATCCCTTCCACCTCCGTGGAAGGGCAGTTCCCCCTGGCCACATTCCCCACTTCCGCAGGGGAGCGGCACACCGCCGGCCGGCTCTCTGGGGGCTGCACGGGTTCCCTTAGATGTTCCCCATAGATGTTCCTGGTACATGCCGTCTCTCTCCTCCTTTATAGTCCTTCTCTGCCAATCCCAACTCGGCTGCCCACACGCCGAGTACGCTGCTCTCCAATCAGGAGCAAGTCCTACAGTTAATTGGTTGAACTGGAGGCAGCTGTGCGGAAGCTGTTTACTTCTCTCCCAGCGCCATATTGTGGGAGAGCAGATGCATAGAATAAGTCCTAATTCGAGTAACTTAGTCTAGTCCGGATTGCTCCCCACATCTGGCACCTCGGCAAAGCCCAATAAATAGAATAGTTAAGTGGAATGTTATAAGCACTGCTCAGTATTGCCGTCTCGGTGTGAAGCATGCAAGAATAGACTTGCGGCCATCAAGTAATTTTCCTTAACAGTACAAGCTAATTATTTGAGAGATGAAGATCTAGGCCGTGGTATTTGCTCCTAATTAAAGGTGGAAAAGTCGTTTGTAGCAGTAAAGGGGACAATAGAATGACCTACTCCTGAGCAGTGTTGCAAATTTCCATGCCACATCTTGGCAGAAAATATATCAAGAGAAAATCAGTGTGCCTTCCTTTTACTTACATCTACGGCTTCTTTTCTGTCATTTTCTGGAGGGCAGGCAGGTGTGGGGCAGGGAGCTCCTTTGACGGTACTGTCAGCTCCTCTGCCTATAGGACTGCTGTTGACGCTGCTAACCTGGGTGAACTAACAACATCCTCTCGTGCAAAGAGGCCCTGCCGTGAGCCCAACCCAAGTGAAAATGCTGCATCCGCACTGCATCCCCAACATTGCATTCACTCATTCCGAAAATATAAGTTCAGCATCCAGTAAATTCTTTCCTTCTGCTTTTTCCATTGGATGGTGGGAAGGTAGCGTAGCACAACTTAGTCCTGTTTTTTGGCAAAGTATGAATGGCATCTTCACTCCTGTTAAGTAGCACACATCGCTGTCTCCAGGGGCAGAGTGTGAGTCCATGGCTTCCCTTCTAGTCTACCGGCTTTGTTCTGAAATTAGGGAGTTAATGTCTGTACGACATAGGATGAGGTCTGGCACAGCACGAATGCTCAATTCCTGCTGCTCACTTCTGTTAGTGAACATTCATTTATTTTGCTGGAAAGGGAGAGAGAGGGGAGAAACTCTTATCCACTGATTCACTCCTGAAACGACCGGGGCTGGACCAGGCCACAGCTGGGAACTCCATCTTTGGGTGGCAGGGACCCAAGTACCTGCAGCCTCCCAGGGTGCACCTTAGCAGGAAGCTGGAATCAGAAGGCAGAGCAGGAGCCAGTATCCAGCTAAGGTACTGTGATACGCCAAATGCCACAATGATCTACCTTTACTGGTAGAAAGATGTCAGAGGTACATTATTTACATGACAAAAAGCAGGATAGAAAACTATCCTAAAAAGACCAGGTGCAAGCATACTCTCAACAATGCTAAGTCAATATTGGAAGATACATGGTTCTTACAGCCGAGAAGTGGGGTTTGGGGCTTCTGGGGAGAAGGCAAGGCAGCCGGCTTTGACTTTTTCACCCAGTGGTCTTACAGGAGTTGACTTTTTCAAAACTACACACTGTATGAAGAGGAGTTTGGGAAGCTGATCGAGATTATCCTATAGGTTGGTTTTAAAAATGATGTCAACCTAACCTTTTTCCATACTTTTCCCATCCTTATGTTATCATCTAGAAACTTTTCTTGGGATATAGAAACACAGCTGAGGCCCAAAAATTTTGACTTTTTTACCATACGGTAGTCAAACATTTAAAAATGTATTATGATCCTATTATAAAATTATTCTATTTGTTCTTCTGTATCTACGGATGCATATTGGGAGTTGTCTGGCGTGCTGTTCACACACTAAATGTAAACAATGCATTTGGCACATTTGTGGCTGACTTCATTGCACTGTAGGCATTGCTTAAATTTTTCATAATGAGCATTTTTATACAAACAATGAAATCATTTCTAGCCATTGGAGAGGAGGAGTGTTTGTTCACTCTTCTGTTTAGCAAACACAGCACCCAGCATCAGATCTTTCCCAGGGAGTCCGGAAGCTTCTCTTCCTCAGAAGGCCAGGAGCTGTCATGCCGCGGCTGTTGCTCATCAAGGAAGCAGGCAGATGGAGTGGCCTCTGCTTCGGGATGGGAAACCGCTTTAGAGGATTCGCTCAGACTGCCTGCCATCCTCCTCCTCTGCTCTTTATGTTGAACTACAGGTTCTGATTACTGAGTTGGCATTTTTCAGGAGTGTGACTGGGAAAAATCATTCACGGTGAAGAGTCTTTGCTGTTGTACAAGGCTAGAGCGCAGGGCTTTGCTCCTCCTGAAGGGCGACTCTTGGATTTCGCAGTGATTGCACAGCACGCCCGTCCATCAGCCAAGATCACAAATCAGTTGGGGACTTGCAGTCTCCCACTGAACACTTCAGGAAGCCAGGGAGAGCTTGCCAATCACGCGATCGCTGCAGAAGATACACTGCCAAGGAGAGAGTCCATTAGACACTACTTAGCACGCTGGGCCCCTCCGGGGAGGATGCTAATCGGCTGTGCAGAAGAAAACACCATTTGGAAGACACTGGGTCTAAGCTAGAATGGGCTGAGCAAACCACAGCCCCGGGCCAAATGTGGCCCACTGCCTTGCATTGTGCAGCCCTCGAGCTGAGAATACTCTCTACATTTTAATGATTGAGGAACAAAAATCAAAAGCAGAATGGCATTTCATGGCACGTGGTTTCCTGTCCCTAAAGAACATTGGGTTGGAACATACACTGCTCATTCATGACCATATTGTCCACAGCTGCCTTTGAGCTGCAATAGCAGAGTCCAGTAGTTGGGACAGAGAGTAAAGCCCACAGTGCTAAAAGTCCTATCTTGTTCTTTCCAGAAAAATTGCAGGTAGACATTATCTGGGTGCATCTCTGTTAATTAATAATGCTTTCGTGTTAACAAACAGCCCCGGCCTGTTGGCGTAGCCATCTAAGATGTGCCATCTTCCATGCAAGCCTACTTCCCTCACTTTCTTAAAGTCAGAGGGAACTTGGTGTCTGAGAAAAAGTAGACTATCAGGAGGGACCATGAGAAATACCGTGGTAACAAATGGAAAAGACCTAGCCCTTGCCCCCAGAACGAGTGAATTACTAAATCTAAGTGCAAGCCCTGACCTAACCCGAGGACGCTGCCTGCATTCCCAAATCTGAAGCAAACTTTCATTCTTAAGATCATGGGGACCCTAGGTCCACTGGCATACTGGAGGGGTCTGTTTGGTTTGTACTTGAATTTGACTATCCACATGGTATTGAATGGTAGGAAATACCTTTTAGTAGAACACATACATTGTGATAGGACATCCAGTGCACTGGCTGTGACACGCCGTGCCCTACCTACCACAATATGTAAGAAAATAGGAAGTTCATACAAAAGCTACTTGTTACCAACAGAAAATGTGAACGAGAGTCCCACGAAATACTGTGGAACTGAAGAAACGAGTCCCTGCACTTCCACATGCCTGTCGTGGACATGACTGACCTCAGTGACCCCCTGTTCTGTTCCTTTCTGTTCTGTTCCAGAGGTTGAAGGCCGCACTGACTCACCACCCGGCTGCCATGGCGAACGGGAACATGAACACCATGGGCCACGTGATGGAAATGATGGGTTCCCGGCAGGACCAGGCGCCGCACCATCACATGCACTCCCACCCACACCAGCACCAGACGCTGCCTCCCCACCACCCCTACCCACACCAGCACCAGCACCCAGCGCACCATCCTCACCCGCAGCCCCACCACCAGCAAAACCACCCCCATCATCACTCCCACTCCCACCTCCACGCACATCCAGCACATCACCAGACCTCGCCACACCCGCCCCTGCACACCGGCAACCAAGCACAGGTAGGCCTCTTCGTGCTCTCTTTCCCCCTTCTTGTTCGTGCTAACAGCGCAAGGTCTAAGGCAAGGTTCATCATGGGAGCCTGGTCTGACAAGGCCACGTGTTCCAGCTAACATCCTGGAAGGCTTTGTTCATTGCCTAGGAGGCACGAGTTCCAAAACCCACCAACAAATAAACTTCAGGTCTCATTTAGGGTCAAATGTAAATTTTATGTCATCCCAAATCGATGATTTTTTTTTTTTTTTTTGCAGTATATTACAAGGTTAGACCTAAACCAAGTTACACCAATCAGAGGATTAGAGAGAATTTAAGCTTGTGAGGAAATATGAGAACAATCATAGAAGTTAATTCTAACCCTGAGTCTAACTGCTCTGCTTTATAACATCATAAAGACTTAATTTTGCCCCCTGTGAAATGGGAGTTAAATATAATGGGTTGTCTTTTTACCAAGAGTTGATGGTAAGAATCGAAAGGGTAGCAATTCAAGGTAGACCAGGCGGCCCAGGAATGGATACAGTAGGGTGTAAGGTGCTGTGCAGAGAGGTGACTCAGCCCTCTCCCCCACTGTGAAGTGCGTTGGAGGGAGCAGAGAGCGGGTTCTGCAGAGGATCAGGCCAAATCCCAGGGTGGAGAGTCACCGGGAGCGGCGAGAGCACAAGCCAGTGTTGAGACGAAAGCGAAAGGAGGCTGGGGGACCAGCAGCTGTAACGTCACCCAGGCCAAGAGGAGAGGCGCGTCCACGTTCAGGAACTGGTTTTACACCAGGTGGCTCTTGAACAGCCCTGCCACGCACCATCCACAAAGCAGTCAGCCATAGGCAGCCCCAGGCTGTTCTTTAGATAAACTCACTTTGCCCAAGTCCATAGCGGTGCTCTTTATGGCCGGTGAAAACTGAGCTCTAGAGTAAGGAAGCAATTTTTTTTTCATATCCTTCTTGCTATATGATTGCAGATTAAAAAAAAAAAGTCTTCCTACACCTCAGTTTTTCCATCTGCAAGATGGGGGTAACAACAACAAACTAGGCTCGTGGGCTCTTAGATTACAAGAATTGAGTAAGAGAATCTATGCAAAGCCTACACACTGTCTTCAAAATGTGTTAGCCAAATTTCATGAAAGTTTTAACAAGTAGTTTAGCCATAAAATGCTGTCTGGATTACCTTTTTGGTCACATTTTCACTGAAATACCATACCTGTCTATAAACGGGGAAAGTAAAACTACAAGGTAAAAGGTAGGCAAACCAATTCGCGTGTGTACTTATTTATTATGGAGAAGAAGAGCATCAGGGTTTGGTTGCTTTTATGGGCAAGTTGTTACACAAACAACTTTAACAGTGCTTTGAATGTAAAAGCCATTCATTAGCTAAGCACCAATTAGCCAGTTGTCCTCTGTTTCAAGTCAGTAAGTGGCCAATTGTATATGCAATTACTTTATTGCAATTATAATTAGCTGCACAAACAGTTGCTTTCTTATCCTATACTAAAAGGGAAGAATCCACATCGGTCTTGTTAAAATTGGAACAAGTTCATTTAGACAGGATTCGAAAATCCCACTGTGAAAGTATGAACTTGGCTGATTACTGAGTTCAGAGAGTAGAGATCTTTTCTGGTTCTCTCAACTCAGATTCCAGGATGACTTAGAATTTATTCTGTCATTTTGAAATTACTTATTATGATTGTTATTTTTAAAGACTTCTGTATTTGAAAGGCAGAGTTAGAGAAAGACAGAGATCATCCATCCACTGGTTTATTCCCCAGATGGCTGCAACAGCCCCAGCTGGGCAAAGCTGAAGCCAGCAGTCAGGAACTCCATCTGACTTTCCCCTGTGGGTGGCAGGGGTCCAAGCACTTGGGCCATCTTCTGCTGCCTTCCCAGGCTCATTGGCAGAGAGCTGGATTGGGAAGGCGAGCAGCCAGGACCAGAACTGGCATCCGATATGAGATGTAGGTGGCTGCTTAACCCACTGTGCCAATACAGTGGCCCCATCATTTATTATTTTTAAACAAAACTTTTTATCTATGCCAAGAAAATTTCATTTTTTAACAAAATGTATTTATTTGAATGAGTTACAGAGAGAGAGAGAGAGAGCTCTTCCATCCCCTGGTCCACTCCCCAGATGGCCACAATGGCCAGGGCTAGACAAGAGCCGGAAGCCTCCTCCAGGTCTCCCATGTGGGTGGCAGGGGCCCAAACACCTGGGCCATCCGTCCACCACCTTTCTGAGACCATTAGCAGGGAGTCAGATCAGAAGCGGAGCAGCTAGGACACAAACAAGCACCCATGTGGGGATGCTGGCAATTCAGGCAGTGGCTCCACCTGTTATAGCACATTGCTGGCCCCCAAAATTTCATTTTGAAGACAAGCTAATTATAAGTAATTACCAGGGGCATGAATTCTGGTGTTAGGGTTTCAGGTTGCAATGTCTCCTAGCTTCTCATGAGCCTCCAACATGTAAGGATGTAATTTCCGAGTCATGGAGTCACTCCATGGCCACCAGAAATTTCTTTTAGCCAGTGCACGTCGTAAACCATAAACAGCATGAAAAAACATCACTTAGCCCCTTTGAAAGCACAAGTGTTACAGAGGAAAGGTTGATTGAAGCTAGAATCGGAGGCTATGGTTTTGGAAATGAGGTCTCTGCACTGGAGATAAACTAGCTGTCTAGCCTTTGCAAGTCTTGTCAAGGGCCGGCTATGAGAGATCACTGATTCACAGAAAGAAATGGTAAAATCAACACTCGCCAGGCACTTAGCACACTCCCTCCTGATGCTGTGCTTGGCGGTAGGAAGATGAGCTAGCATCTAAAATGACAAGTGCTGAAGCTTTGCCACTACCACCCACCATATCTTCACCAGCCATGCCGGTGACCGAGCCCTTAGACAATTGATTTGTTATTCCTCTATGATCGGGAGGGGAAAAAAAAAAAAAAAGCACCGCCACTTTTGCTCTAAATCAAATTAAGAGATACAGTCCAACCTCAGTGTTCAGCCTGAGTCTTCTGCGGTTAGCAATAGAAAGTTTGATACCGTTTGGGATGAAAATATATCACCCTGGCCCAGCTGATGTCAGCCCAGAGTCATTCTTAGTGCAATTACAGTCATTCTGATTGATTTCAATCACAAGGTGGGAATGTGGCAGAAGGGGTTGTCAGGCTCCATTTTTAAAACTTTTTGCCTGTTATTTCTGTAGGTTAAATGTCTCTTGTAAAACAGCTTTATAGGTATTACAGTCATAAACCTGAGTGACTGAGAAATGGGAGAGAGAGAGGAAAAACAGCCTTTATTGAGAGGAAGGGAGGAGGGCGGAGGAAAGAGCATTAGGTGTCCAGACACATAAAGAGTCAGTCGCACAGATTTCACAAGGTGCCGTGTGTGTGTCTGCCTCACCAAGGCACAGAGAGCCCCGTATGGGGGTCTCCCAAACCTTAGATGGTGCTCGGTCCCGCGCAGACCTCACGAGGCACCTATAAGCACAGTAAACCTTTTTAATAAAGTGGCCGGCCACTCCTAGGACTTCCTAATAGTGTACAAACACAGCAAAGCACCACCAGCCTCAGTGTCTCCCACATGCAGCCCGCAGCACTCCATTGGCCGCCCTGCGCATCCATGGATGCCCCTCAGAGGCCCTGCTCCCTCCCTCCTGCCACTGTGGAGCTCCGAGGAGCGAACAGACCCTTCTGTAATGTGCGGGCCCGGCTAGGCCTCTGTTCTCAGACCCTGAGATCATGATTGCAACTGCCTTCCCTTAGGATAGGGCCACAGTGGCTACGAAATCCAGCGGTGCGTCCTAGAAACGTGGTTGCAACACCATTAGAACGAAGAGTGGCCTCCGTGCCCGGAGAAAGGGGCACCGGGCAGGTGACTCGTCAGTATTGGGATAATGGCCCTGCCATCTCTGTTTTCACACTCTAGCCATCTGCTGGCTACTTCAAACTTGTCGGATTTTCACATATTCGAAAGGCAGAGTTACAGAGAGTGGGGGAGGCTGGGACAGAGCTTCCCTCTGCCAGTTCACTCCCCAAATGGCTGCAATGGCTGGGGCTGAACCAGGCCAAAGCCAGGAGTCCAGAGCTCCATCCACGTCTCCCACATTGGGATCAGAGCCCAAGCGAGCACTTGCGCAGGTGCAGTAGTAGGGAGAGGTCAGGGTTAGAACCTGCGCTCCGATATGGGATGCCGGTGATGGAGTCTTAACCCACCGCACCACAATGCCAGGTGGGCTTTAAAGTTTGTAGACACATCTTAAATATTTCCTGTACAATGATTTGGGCAGCACCACAAGGAAAAATTCCTCTGAGCACATCTTTTCACAAGTCGTTTCTGTATCCGCCAAAATACAGACTAAAATACAGTCACTAAAGTGACTTTCTTATTCTCTGCAATTTAACACCTGGCGTAGGATTTTTTGTTGTTGTTGTTCTTTGTTTATCTTTCCTCCCTCACCCATCGCCGCCCCCTGTCCCTACAGGTCTCACCAGCAACGCAACAGATGCAGCCCACCCAGACGATACAGCCCCAGCCCACAGGGGGGCGCCGGCGAAGGGTGGTGGACGAGGATCCTGATGAGAGGCGGCGGAAGTTTCTGGAACGGAACCGGGCGGCCGCCACCCGCTGCAGACAGAAGAGGAAGGTCTGGGTGATGTCACTGGAAAAGAAAGCAGAAGAACTCACCCAGACAAACATGCAGCTTCAGGTGCCGGCCACTGGCTCTCTCCTTTGGGACCCCAAAGGCCCTGGGCATAGCTGGCGCTGCCAGCCCACAGGCACTTGTTGACCCAAGCTGTCATGCCACATGCTTAGCCCCAGAGGCACTGCAGGTCTGCTCCTGGCCAGGCATTAATTCTGGGCCACTCCACAAAATGACCTATTCAGTGTCCAGGCCCTCTGCCTGGAGGCGGGTGGGCTTGCCAGCTAACTCTAAGAGGGCTGGGAGCACAGACCTCCATCACACAGACTTCTAGACCTTGCTTGGGCAACGACTTGCCGAGTTTAACCTCAGGGTTCTCATCCATAAAATGGGAAGAAAACATTTTATAGAGCTTTTAAGAGGAATAAGTGACCTCATGTCTACAAAGCAGTTAGCACAGTGCCTGGTGCACAGGAAATCTTCACCCGGGAACAGCCGTGTTTCTACCCACCAGGCTGAGGGAGTTGCTTTGGTTTATATGTGATTCCTTCTGTTCTAGAAGGAACCAGGCTAACAAGGCAGGCTTATGGTTATCCTTGCACTCTGAAAGAACAGGCAAGTTTCCTTGTCATTTTCAGATCCAAGAATTCAATGTTGCCTGAGTCTTGTTTTTCATAGGTGGCTTAGCTGGGGACGTTTTAGCATGGGGCCACTTCTGGGAGTGTCAGAGAAGGGGGAGAAAGTCTGGTTCCCAAGGCCCCTCCAGCAGACCCCATGGCATACAAATAATGCAGTTCAGGGCATTCATTCAGACATTAAAAGCACACCATTCACTTCCCCTCCCAAAAGGCTGCCGAGTTAGACATGTGACAAACAGTCCAGAGCTTAGCAGCCAGTGTCTGACACAGAGCCCAGTACTTGGTCTGGGAACTGAGAGACTCCCCAGGGAGCACTGGGTAGGGAGTAAAGTGCCCCCAGCAGGGAGAATTTGCACCTTGCTGGTTCACAGGGCGTCATCACCCTCTTGCCCTACCTGGTTCTCTGTGCAGCCTCCGAGAGGAGCAATTAGGCTGCCAAAGCCCCCATGCCTCTGCAGATTTAACTCCATCAAACAGAGCCTTGCAGCATCCAATGTACAAACTGAACCCATACAAGGGAAGGTTTAGCTATCTGTGGGCTGAATTTTACGGATTTTATGGAGGTTTGCTTTCCCTGCAGAATCTATCATTCCATGTGTGCTAGATGTGTGGGAATACGTAGCAGCTGTGGAGGGAAGTAGGCCAAGGATTCCCCTGCTTGCTGGTTTGTGCTACTCGACAGTTGGGACTGTGTCTCATTACTCCCCTTAGTATCTGTGCCCTGGTTCTCGCGTAGTCTCTACACTCAAACTGTCTGTTGAATACAAGGAGGAGCTCTCCATCCCTGGGGTGTTCAAGAATTGGCTGCACAACACTTGGCAGTGCTCTGATTGCGAGAGTCAAAGCCCGCAGGGGCATGGCTGCCCTGCAACCCCCTGAAAGCCACTTGTAGAAGCTGGCGGGCACAGGCATACCTGAAAAACTTTCAGGAAAAACATGGAGAAGCACTTTTAATGGTAACAGTCATAGTCTTATTTTGACGGATATTGAAATCTCCAGCGGGAATATCCAACCACAGTTTCACAGCCGTCAGTGGTAGGGGCAAAGTGAAATCATTTGAAAATGAGTTCGTTGGCACAGATGCATTACGTCTGGGAACACGCTGGTGTATGTGAACCTAGCAAATACGGCAGTAGCAGCTCTGCTGTGACAGGAGTGGGGGACCTAGGTATTTGCTCCCAGCTCTGAGGTTGGTGGGAGACTGCTGATCTCTGGCCCTGGTCATTCCTGTGCCTGGTAGGACACTTAGCAGCATCGGTGGCCTCTGCCGCTGAGAAGTCAGGAGCACATCCTGCAGTTGTGGCAATGAAAGAGTCTCCAGATGTTGCCAGATGTCCCCTGGGTGGGGAAGGGCTGGCGGTGCAGAACTGAGCGAGGTGGAGAACCACTGCCTCACAGAAGGAGCCGTGAGCAGCCAGCTGACACGGAACAGATGCCACCAGCGCTTTTCGTCGGTTTTAACTAAAATGAGCCCTTGCAGACTCACTCCAGGGGATCGACTGATCACGAAAGCCTGGACGGCTCCCTGCGGACAGCCAGCGTGGAAAGCAGCCAGCTGACTCGGAGGTCAAATGTGTCGATGAGTGGCCGTGCACGTATTTATGATTGCTTCTGTGAAACACTCAGGTCAACCTACCCTTTACTAGACACTCATCCACTGTTTTCTTGCCATTTCTTACCTTTCTTTAGAGCCAAAACGGCTTGGGAAAAGAGATAATAGCACTTGAACTCCTCCAAACCAGAAAATAACCTAGTTAAGTTCCTACTGAAGCCATGGGAAAGGCACCAATCTTTTTTGGTCTGGAGATCCCTGACACAGGAAGCGGCAAGCTCTGCAAAGCCTGAACTGTTGGTATTTTCCAGGCACGGCCTTGCCTCTGGGGGACAGAAGCCTCGACTGTCTGGAGCTGTCAGCGATGCGGGTGCTCTGCTCCTGCCCTGCGGTGTTGGACAGGGGGCAGTGGACTCGGCTACCTTTGAGTGACCCTTTCCCTCTCAGTGGACTTCTGTCAAAAGAAAAAGGTGTCTCTCCTGAGGCTGGCGCAGTGAGCCAAGCTTTAAGTAAACAGAAATGGAAGGTGCTAAGCAAACAAACTCCAGCCAAATGGAATATCCAAGGTCTGGATGGCCAGCTGCCACTTTTGAGTTGTTTCCCAGCATAGAACCCTCTGGTTAGGCTGCAGAGATTCAATTGGAAAAACCAGACCTAAGAAAACAAAATCAAACTCCCAGACTTCATTTCCTAGTCCTACGATAAATATCTGCCCAAGAGGGCAACACAGGCATAGGAAGGAATTGGGAGAAACGTTAGAAACCGCCCCACCTGACATTTTATGGAGGGAGATGCTGAGGTCAAGGTAATCAAGAATCTTCTCAATGGCACATGCTCAGCGGATGGCAGCATGAGGGCTCACGCAGGTCTCCTGGTGACCTAAGCCACCACCTGAGGATCTCTCACTCTACAGAGTTCTCAAACCACGGCGCCCAAGATCGGCTGCAAATCCACCAGCTGCTGGTGTGGTCCTCAGCAGAGCGTTTGTGCTCCACAGAGGATATGGGAATCATCTGGTCACCCACGGAAATAATTGCTTTTCTCATTTACCGCACAGACACATGGTCTAAGTTGCTGCTGCAATTTTAGACACAGGAGCCCAGGTCTGGGACTTGGCAAGAGAAAAGGCCAGATGGGAACTGTTGAGAAACCCAAAGTCCTTTGTTTCTGAATGAACAAACTGGATCTCAGATAATTTACAAAAAAAAAATTTTTTTAAAGGAAAGAGGGTGTATCGTAGAACTCATTTTTGGGGCAGTAACTACTGCTTAATGCACAGATAGCTACTGGGGATCTCTGATACTGGTTGCCTAAGGCGTTACTATAGTATTGAATGTACAGGTCTACAAATACCTCGGTCCAGAGGGATCCACTCTCCGATCTTCTCTACTTAAATAGCAAACTGCTTTTGAGTAACAAACCCAACTTGGTTTAGAAAACTGAAAAAAAAAAAAAATGAAGGGTTGATCTCAGCAAGAGAATCAATACTTATTAAATACTTTGCTTTTGCAAAGTACTTGTATGTTAAAACCTGGGACTATTATTTATTCCTACATAGGGGAATAAAAATATTGGTGATTTTCCTAGAGTCATAAAGCAAGGTAATTCAGAGGAAGAAAATGCCTCCGGAAGTCCTGGCTTTTATTTCCCTTCCAGACTTGCAGGCCACATTTGCTTCCTTTCGTGCATGTAAAAACATTTGCTATCTGGCTCTTCTCCTCCAAAATGAATTCAAGGTGATTCTACTTATGTTACCTTGAAAAGGAGTTTTACATAAAATGGAGTCTAGCATTTGTGCATTGCCTGCACCATCCAGGCTTTCATTCAGAAATCTTTGACAATCGTGCATCAAAGCACCCAATTCTTTCTTTCTATAAGGCTGAGATTGTTGACCCTTTTAAAGCCAAAACCCCCTACAGACTCTGGGGAAGGCTCTGTAGACTCCCTCTCCAGCCACACATACATGGACACACAACATTTTGCTCCAGAATTAAACTATGAAGGCTGCTTTGGAGTTTCTGATAAGATTTAAGGTACCAACAGTGCTACAACTGGCTCTCTTAGGAAATATAAGATCTGAAATGCTAGATATGAGAATATCAAAAGTATTTAATACATACAGTTCAACACTGAATCCTTCATTAGGTAATTGGCTTTCACAAAGTCAACACAAAACAAAACAAAAAAATCTTTCTGGAAGGAACACAGAGGACTAGTCCAAACAACTTTGGTTGTGGCAACGATTTGGGAACTCAAGTTCTATTATTTTTTTAATCTTTATATATTTTATTTGAGAGGCAGAAAAAGATCTCCTGTTCATTAATTCATTCCCCAAATGCCTGCAACAGCTGGGGCTGGGCAGAGCCAAAGCTGAGAGCTGGAAACTCAACCCAGGTCTCCCACATGGGTGGCAGGGAAACAAGTACTTGGGCTGTCACTACTGCCTCCACAGGCTGTACCCTGGCAGGAAGTTGAAGTTAGGACCCGGAGCTGGGACTTGAACCCAGGCACTCCAACGTGGGACATGGGTGTCACAGAAATGTCTTAATTGCTGGACCAAATGCCTCCCCCTCAAATCCTATTATTCTCAACTTTCAGTCGAGAGTTCCTTTTCCTGCCAAATTCTACCTCATTAATTTCTATTTTAATCTCTGACAATAAGGTCCTTGGACCGTCATAATTGTGTATAATCTAAACAAGAGACTAATTTTGTTCTAGTTAATGGGTGTTCATTTTTTAAAATTTCTGTATTTTCATCCACTTAAGAGGAAGAAAGAGAGAGAGAGATCTTCAGTGTGCCAGTTCACACTCCAAATGCTTGCAGTAATGGGGCTGGGTCAGGCTAAAGCCAGGAGCCTGGAACTCCATCCAGGTCTCCCACATGGGAGGTAGACACTCGAGCACTGGGGCCATCACTGCTGCCTCCCAGGTACCTTAGCAGGAAGCTGAATTGGAAGCAGAGTTTCCAAGACTCCAAGTGACACACTGATTTGGGATGTGGGTATCCCTTGCTGTGGCTTAACTTGCTGTGCTACAGTGAGATAACATGACTAATGTTATTATCAGCATGTCACCTTAGGAAGCAGGTCCATACTCACATATAGCTTTCAAGTGGTCATCAGTTGTCACAATACTCTGTTTCTACAATTTTACAGAACTTTACAATTCTTGGGGCCTTGATTTCTAGAGCTACAATATAGTGATGTATTAATACAATGTTTTGTTATCTCCAGACAAGATTCCACCAAAGTCAGATATTTTGTACGGGGTCTTGATGATAGGCTAGAACATCACATATGTTGTTCAGAGTTGTGATTACTTCTGTTTCATAGTAAAACAGCTTTATGAAAGGATTATTGCGAAACAGTTTAGAGTGTCACCTATCGTAGGCAGTGGACTCCTTGCAACTGAATCTAGAAACCCAGAGAATGGAATCCAGAGTGCTCTCGTAAGGGAGAGGCAATGAAAACTGTGATCCTGACATAGTGGGGGAAAAATGGAGTCTAAATGTAGGCTCTCCAAGATGGCCATCCATTTGTTCTTCCAGAAACATCGAGAACTCAGCTTTGTGTTTAATATTTCCCCCTGGTTACTGTTTTCTAGGTTACAGTGCAGAAGTGTGGATTTGCTGAATATTAGAATTCCATTTTCTAAGAATCATTGTCTACATTATCTGTAGCTGAGCTTCTACTCAGAGTACAAGTGCCTGGACCGTGGTGGCTTCAGAAAAGTGTTATTCTGTAATCCAAATGCAAATAACATGGCATTTCACACGGAGGCAAAAAATATAGTCACACCTGTATGCGTACACACACTTAGTTTCCCCTTTTGTTTTTAATCAGAAATTGCTTTCATGTAATGTCTAAAAGTGTCTCTTCTCGTGCATGCTATTTTAAGCAGAAGGGAAACTGGGAAAATGAAGGCAGCTATGGGAATCTAGATAGGTGTAAAATCAGAGAGAAAAGTATTAGCATTTAAGGCTAAAATACATTGTCCTATAAAGTTGTCTTACTGACCCTGGATTGCCAAAGGTCACTTGGCAAGGCCCCTTATCAATCACGCTCATTGGGAGGTGGCAGGCGCAATTCACTTTCAAGAACATTCTTAGGTAGGAAAGCAATGTTCCTATGCAGTTAAGGCATTTATTCATCATTAAAGCCAGTTTCTCAAATAGGCATTTTTTATTTTGTAACTAGTTGGAAAAGCCTTTGTAGATGAGATTCTTATTACTTTGGTATTAATTTTACTGAATATCTGGTTGCTTGTGATGTATTTAAGTGAATTTTGAAATGGAAGAAATTCATTAACATGGGTTTCAGCTTTTCTTAAAGTAATGTCTAGAACTCCAAACTTACTTTTGGAGGTGATAAATACATGCCTGAAAAGCCAAGTTCATATTGCAAGTGTAGATATGACTTAACGACAGCCACTGTTAAACACCCTTTTCTATATGCACGCTTTTTCAAAGTTTCCGATGTGTGAAGTAAGAAGCCTGGCAGCTGCACAAGAACCGTGGCCAGAGAGAATAGTCGTTACCCCAACTTTTAAAACAGCTCATTGGAGAGAGCACAGTTTACTTTTATCAAGTGAAAGCACAATGCAGCAAATTATCCATTCTACAGTGGTATTTGTAGACATTAGATGTCGAGTACATTACTCTACAAAGTTATGAACATGCCTTTGTGAATTACTGCCTAGAGCCCTGAGACACTTATTTGCATAAATAAGGAAAAGGCAACCATGATCTACAGCATCCTAATATTGAGGGGGAGAAGAGTTTGTAGACTAAAATGAATTAATGAACTGATCAAAGTAATCTGACTGTGGCCCAGAGTGGCACTGCCATGTGCCTCCCCGGGCTGACATTGTCCCCCCGGCAGATGACGGGTGTGTACATCATGTCTTTTCATGCCTCCAGCTAAGTGGGCATCAGTCAGGTGGTAGCTTCCTTCTCAACTAAAGCCATCTGGAACTTCTTTGATGGGGGGTGTGTACATTCTGATTGCATTGCACTCTGAAGCCACCAATCCTATCATACAACTCTTCCCACTGCATACGTCACAGCCTCCTCCTGGTTGGCAGGGTCAGCCAGCATTGCCAGACTTAGGAAAGCCATGTGCTAGGCATTGTTCTAAGTGTTCTGTATTCAGTTGCCTCATTCAACCCTCCCAACAAAGACTTACATCCCCCCATCATTATCAGTGAGGTTGCTGGAGTTCAGGTGGATTATGTTACCTGCGGAGTGTCACCCACTAAGTCTAGAGTGGGATTCTAACCTGCATTGTCTGGTTCCAGAGCCCAGCACTTAATGGATGTGCTGTGATTTTTGTAGGGTTCAGCTCTTGAGATCCAAGCTCGTCAGTAAGCCCTTGGTAAATGTGAGGGCCAAATTAAAGGCAAGCTGCAGATTTTCATAAGAATCTTACTAAATCATGGTCTTTAAGCCATTTGGATGTAGCAGAACAAAAAAAATTTGCCAATTTGTTGAAGATGCATGGGGCTCTGGGTTTCTATTCTCTGATCTTCTCAATGTGGCTTTAATATGTCTCTTTACAGAATGAGGTGTCCATGTTGAAAAACGAGGTGGCCCAACTGAAACAGCTGTTGTTAACACACAAAGATTGTCCTATAACAGCCATGCAAAAAGAATCCCAAGGCTATCTAAGTAAGTCACCAACTTTTTTCTTTGAGTGTCCAGTGTTTTACCACTAATTCTGCCTTGAATTTTATAGAAAGAGCAAAAGTAAAGTGTAGATGGCACTCCCAGACAGATGTCACACTAGAATTCTTGAGTGGCTTCCAGATTATTCCACGGGGGGTGGGGGAATCCCTCTTTCTCATCCTTATCCAGCACCATGGCCACTACCGCCTGCTAATTTCTGGCCACACTTCCCCTGTCTTTAACATTATAAAATTCTACCCAATGTCAATGCTGTTGCCAGTGAGCAGAGAGTCTGCTGGAGACCATCTTGCAGTGACTTAGAATCTTGAGAATTCTGTGGGCTGGGAACCAGGCGGTGGGGACATTGCCTCCAGTACCCCAGGATACACCATATGCTCGTCCCTGGGCTACAAAGCTAGTGATCTGGCCTCTGTTTATCAGTGGATCCCTTTCCTTAGACCCCAATTTCTGCATCTGGAGGGTCATTCGATAAAATGCTAGTTCAGTAGGGGGTGGCGGGGAGGAGTAGGGATTCTTGACTGAAGGTCAATTTATTTTCAAATGATTTTTTAGATTGAGCAACACAGATTCTCCCACCACATGTGAGTATTTTTCCACATTTGATGTATGGTTATTGGAAAAGACAAGATGGGCTAGCTCACATACCAGGTCACAAACACATCAACCCATTTCGCTGATATAGAAAGCATGGCTTTGCTCGTAGCTCTACATTGGGAAGAGGCATAGCTTGGTGACACCAGGGTAAAGTCTTCAAATTAACTTGCAGAAGCCAATGTGGGAAACGCTTCTATTTCAAGTAAATACCTAATACCATTTTTCTGAAGAGTTTGCAAATCCACACAAGAGCGAGCTATATTGCGGTGTGTATGTGTGTGTTTTCTCCTAGGTCCAGAGAGTAGCCCTCCTCCAAGCCCTGTCCCAGCCTGCTCCCAACAGCAAGTCATCCAGCATAACACCATCACCACGTCCTCGTCGGTCAGTGAGGTCGTGGGAAGCTCCACCCTCAGTCAGCTCACCTCTCACAGAACAGACCTGAATCCCATCCTTTAAACTAATGGGCCACGCCTTGCTTCTAAGAAGACCTGTACCATACCACGCGTCCTTTCTCTTAAGGGCATTTTTAGAATTAACTCCAACCTGGAAGACTCCTCAGCCCTTCAAAGACTGGCTTTCATTTTTATAGTTACTATGGAAATGTTGTCTTTTATATTTAGTTATATAAGAAAAAAAGGGAGTTATGCAATTAATATCTATCAGCTTGGGAAATGCTTTGGTGCTTTTCTCCAATTTTCTGGTACCAGTTATTTGTTTATAAACTGAACCTTTTCTGTATATAGTCATGGTTTCATTTTTATCAGCCGAAGCCTTTGCCTGAAACAAGGAATCTTGTGAAACCACAGCTTTTAGCCAAAATGAGGCATAGCTAGGTGTCAAGTAGGACAGATCTAAGGTACCTGGGTAGGAATCTGGTGACATCCTAACTCATGTTGAGTTTGTGCTCTCTCACCAGAATCCCAGATACACACACAGCCTTCCCCTCTTTGACTAGAAACAATGTTAAGATCCATCAGTGTCCAAACGAAATCAGGAAGCATCTCAGCCCCGCTCTCCCTCCTCTTGGTCCACTTGCTCAAATACCCAGTTTTCGTCTCCATTTCCAGTTGGCCTCAGGCTCCCTGTTTGCTATTCATTTTGACTTTCCTCCTGTTTTATTGTTTTTCCCTTTAGCATTGCATGCAACGAAAATAATGTTTAAAGAAAGAAAAAGAAGCAAACCTCAAAAATGTGGACCTAGCTTTTCTTCACTTGCCTGTAACCCACAGCTGGAGTTCATTCAACTCTTGCTTTTCAAAAAATAGTAACTGGGAGATGTTTAATGTGCCTGATTTAATGTTTTTAATAATCAGAGCAAATAAAAGGTGGTTGAGTTACAGTGAAGCACTGTTAAATGCCAGCTGTGGAGACACTTGGGAGGGAATTCTATAAGCCTTGACTGTGAAAGTCCAAATTGAGATGCAAGGCTATAACATCACACCCTGGAATTACAACTGGTTTTATGTGGCCTGTCTATATTGTTGAAAATCCACGCGCTATATAATAATTCAGAAGGGCTCTATTCACTACACAGATTACACTATTCAATCATCAGCTGCTAATAGCCTAAGATTTATTATTATTATTTTTCTTAAGCCTATGGAACTGGCTTTGCCATTCAGGTGGGTGTAAGCAAGCTGCAGAAACACAAAGAAAATCCTGCGTTTTCACTGGGTGCTATTAGCCTTCCGCGACAGTACAAGGGCCCTGTGGCTGCTGAAGGGAAGCCCCGAGTCTGGCACAGGCTGCTCCACTCTTCAACAATTCTGAGTTCTATTTCCAGTAACTTCCACAGACATAATCCATTAGCAAAAACAGATAGACCCCCAAACCACGGCCATGCCTCCTTCACACAAGCCATTGTGCTGTGCTCATGTTGTAATGTCACATCTCAAACGACAGGGGCCAAGGTTCCTCCCTAAAGTCTAGGCAGGTGCTGGTTTTCATCTCCATTGAATGCTTGATGTGTGTGTGTGTGTGTGTGTGTTTTACAAGAACAGTATTTTACAAAAGTATAGCTTTTATAAGGGTTCAGAAAAGGGAAGGATGTGCTTGTTTCCCTTACTACAGTGTAAGAATCTATTTTGGAGGGAAATAACAAGAAGATATGAAGGCCATGAAGTGTAATTTTTATACCTAGTTTCAGTTTTATCAAATAACTTACTCTTTAAATCAATGTCTATCAACAGTCTTTCTGTGTGTCAAGTGTGTTCAAAAGACAGTTTTGAGTGTTCAGTGAAACTTAAGACTTAGATATATGGTCAAAATGCAAAAAAAAAAAAGAATGCAAATGAAAGAATTTTCTATCGTATTTTAGACAAACATATCATTTTCGGGTATTCTAAATACTGAATTCATAGTTGTTTCTTTTTTATTCCAGCAGTAATAGTTGAAAGGTTTAACCTGACTGGCTTCCTAAGAAATATTTAATTTTTGCTTTAAAAAAGTTAACGTTCATAGCTCTGTCTCAGATATTTAAAAAAAAAAATCCTTCATGGGATCATCCACACATCCCCCCTCCTCTTGCCCCTCCACTGCCAGAAACAACAAAGCATTGAAATGTATGTTTGTTGGGTTTTTTAAATTTTTTATGTTTTGTTTTGAGTAAACAGAAACTTTTCTTTATTGCATGCAAAGCACTTAAAGAAATGGATTTTCTTCTTTAAATATCCACTGGTAACATTACCATGTCCCGCGGGTGACCTGTCCCTAAAATTGCGTTTTAGTTACTTCTCTTCTACATCTTGAGTAAAATTACTTAGTTGTTAAACTGAAAGCCTGGGCAGCGAAGAACTTGCCTGAGTTTTCTTAATTCAGCAACTTGACAGTTTGACTGATGTGCATTATGTAGAGCTCAATTATGTCTGTTTTTTATGCTAAGTAGGCAAACCAAGCACACAAGTTAGCAAACCGACCTCAACCTAGAATTAGAATAAACTGCCTGCTTGTAAGCCTCTGGGCCTTGAGGTGTGTTCATTCGCAGAATGGAAATGCAGTATAGCAAGAACGCAGCCCGTTGTCAGTATTTCTTGCACTCCCCAACAGGGAGGCTCACTGTCAAGCTCAGTACCAGGGTTAGCAATGTTGAGGATTTCGCCTAAAGGTCCCGTCTTCACCCGATCACAGAACAATCAGTCTGCCTAAAACTTCCCCCTTCTGGCCCAACACCGTTAGCCAGTAGGAGAGAACATCTTTCTTCCCCGTTCTCCTCTTGCAACCAGTCACTGGTCATCCGTGTACGTTTTCTGAGTCAGTGGCAATGGCCTTGAGGGCGCCCAGCCCATAGAGGATGTCACTGTGCCACTGCCTCGCCTCCTCCCTGTGTGGTTTCCTTTATCACCAGGCTCTGCCTGTGGAGTCCCTGCCCCCTGTGCGGGCGCTCAGCACTTCGGTACACTGGAGACCACTCCTACCAGGGGACCCCTTGCCCACACAGAGGCATCCGCATCTTTGTTTCTCCTCGACACATTTCTCAATGATGCCAGGACAGGTATGGTGAAAAGCCCAGCTGTGGATGAATGTACTGATTTTAATGCCAGTCGGATGTTTGCCCTTTACAGACCCATGGATCTCTCTCCTACTTTCACAGCAGTGCACGGAAGTCACCATCTTGACACAGCCCCTGGGGCCACGCGGCTGTCACAGCACGTGCTACAGCGAATAGGGTGACTCTTGGCACTTGTCTCGTCATTGACATAAAATGCAGTGTGTGGGTCTGAGAGGGGTGCCGATGGTGAAGCTTCTGGTGCCTGTTAGTTAAGCCAATGTTAGTGTGTTAGTTGAGTTTGTCATTGAAATCATAAACCAGCCATGGTGAAAGACCAGTCCTTGGCTGGGGGGATTTCCGCATCAGTAACTGCTATAAAATTAGTCATCCCGTTAGGATAGAATGTGCTTCTTTCTGGTTAATAAAAACCATCTAAGAAAATATATATGTATGTATGTGTGTATACAGTGGAATTCAAGGACCAAAGCAAAATTTGAACAGGAATCTATTAATTTAGAATTTTATAAGATATTTATTAATAAATGTTATTTTTAAACATTCCATTTGAACAGTATTCTTCTGTAGGATCTGCTTGTTTTTAAAGTTATTAGCTCATAACAAACTACTCTGGTTGTGTGTATTTTCATTTTTCAGGGTTTCGAGTGGCTCATCATTTGGTAGAATGTGTGCTTAGGTCTCTGTGCATAGACATCAAGGATTTTTATTTTTTTAAATTTACGTTCTGAATAGGTTTTCTTTTTTTACAATTATTTCTTGTTTTTCATTTTTAAAGTAAGCTTTTTCATGTAAGAAGCAGAGTTCAGCTAAAGGGAATCTAACTGGAACTAGAAGAGCTTTCTTGCAGAAGCATACAAACAACTTCCACTCTGCTTCTCTCCACCCCACACGATTTCCTGGAATGCCTTGCACTACATTCAGCGTCCTTAGTGCTTTTTGTCCTTTCCCAAATAATATGCAGTAGCTTTAAGCCATTCAAGCTCCATTATGCAGCTTATCTGAGAAAGGAAAGAAAACAACGCATTTAAATTTGAATAAAACAGTGCCTATGCGAACTGTAGCAATTTAGAATCTTTCTGCTTTGAAAATAATTTATATTTTAAAATTGCACTTTAGCTTTTCTGCTCCCTTTCCATTGCTCTTCTCTTTCTAACCTCTTCCTTGTCCTCCAACTTGCCTTTGCACTCCCTGCCCCACTCCCCTGCCTTTCCTCTAAGGCTCTGAGCTGCACCCTGTAAGATACTTCCAGGCTCTCTGCACCAAGTACAACTGAGTGCGCTCGTTAGCAGCATAGCTAAGACTTCTTTCTCCCATCAGCCTAGAGGAAGCCCACTCCGAGAATGCCAAGAAGAGCCAGTACACTGTGTGGCTTATACTCCTGATCCTTTTATTCATAGCAAGTTTGTGGGTTTTTTTTAATGTTATATTATGCAACCGATGTGAGGCAGCAGCTAAGCCACACCTAAGAGTTTTTTATCTCATCCTCTGAACCAAAGTGTCCTGAATAAGCCAGGAGACTTAACTCTTGTGCACCTCAGTGCACATCTGACCGCTGTCCTAGCCATGGTTGGAGGCTGCTGAACTAACAGTGGCCCTATCAATTTCATTCCTAAGTCTCAAGAATACAATGTTGCCTTGTAATATAGGACAGCACCTCTGTTTTACAATTGTAACCTAAGGAAGGAGAAAAAGACACAGAAGCAATAAACTTACAAGTAAAACCTATACCAAAACAAACACACAAAGAAGTGGAAAAAACAAAACGCCTAGCTCATCACGTTGTGGAAATGTAGAAATGTGTGTTCATTCAGAATATCATACTATTTCTCGTGGAACGTTTCAGTGATGTAATGCTTGTAGCCAAATTATTTAAAGAGTGTTTATATATTTTTTCCTTATAAATTGTCTATTTTTAAAAGAAAATAAACAAACCTATTTAACCACAAGCTGAAGAGGTGAGTAAGGCCAAATTGCCAGCATTTGTTAAAAGATTAATACTCTTAAGTGGCACTCTGATACCTTTCCAAGTTTATCATCAGAAAGAAATCGATAATTACCAACTGTTACATTTAGACTAATTTACAATATGTAGCTCATTAGAAGCCAGCATCTAGAAAGCTCTTCTTAAGTCATTTTTAAAAATTTCTTTTAACTTTGAGCTTCATATTATATAATTTTATGCTTTTTAAAAATGATACCATCAATTAGCCTCAGGACTGAGAATGTGGAACCTGAATAGATTGGTTGTAAATGCATCATTAAAGTTTTATGCACAATAAGCTCCTTCGAGTCTCATTTGCTCCTTGCAAACACCAATGCCAGACACTACAGGAAGTAGTGAAAGGTATCAGCAGTGCCGCGGGAGGGGGCTGGAGGGAAAAGAGCCTTTCCAACCATCCAGCCATCGTCCAAGACCTACTCACCCTCTTCCCTTCTGCTAACTCACACCTGCAGCAGCAGAGTGCCGCTTCGACTTTGTCTCGGAGCAAAGACAGGCTTGAAGCATGCTCCCTGGCACAGGGTTTGGTATCGTTTGAAAAGGCCCAGAGAAATGGTTCGGTTCAAAAAACAGTGTTCTAGGACAATTGCATGAGGACTATTGTCCAAAAACCTAACAACACGGAAAATGTTTAGCACTGTGAAAAGTGAGTGTTAACTAAGGAAGTCCCAAAAAAGGTGCTGTCACTTTAAGTTCTGGACTTGGGGGTGTTTGTAATGAACAGCAAAGCAACTGTGTGTGTTTGTCTATTTGTAAAGCAACCACCTTCCTTATTGGAAGGAAAAAAAAATTTGGGGGTACATACGTGTAAATACTTGCTACAGCATTTAATATGTTAATTTTATGTTAAGCTTTTTGTTGCATCGTGAACACATTTATTGTTACCAATGGACAATGAATTCATTAAGACTGTTTGACTAGGTCAGATTTTTACATCTCTTTCTAGCAAGAAGAGACAAGATTTTGTGCATTTGTACAAATGTTAATATCACTGCAATTCCAATATAATAAAGCACTCAAATGCAAATAATATTCGTGGCTGTTGTATGACTTGGGGTTGGGGATGATGACATGTGTTCTTCATGTGTCACACTCGTGCTCTGTAAACCAAAGCTTACGGGTCACCATTACCCAGGGACAAAGGGAGATGAGGCGTTCCCCCTTCCCAGATCATCACTCCACTGCCACTGTCACTTCCATCTCCCTTCCAAGTCGAGGCCACTGGTCCAGCACATTCACTCTGCGAGTTAAGCAGAACTTCACTGAAAGGGAATGTGGGATTAGCAGTCTAATCGTCAAAGAAACAGTCAGCCTCCAAGTTCCAGTCACGTCTGGGAACCCAGAATCACACACTGGCTATCCAAGCAATCAAATCCTGGAGCTCTTTGCTCGACTTCCAGAGAAGTCCTAAAGGTAGTCTTAGCCCCCGTGTGTGTTCGACATGCCTCCCTCCCTCCCTTCCTCCTCTTGCCTTTCTTCACCCCTTCATTACTGAAGACACTCTCATCTTTCTTTTACACCGAATATGTTTCATCTGCAAGATCAGAAGCCAATCATCATTTAGCACCAATAGTTTTTGTTATGCTGTCTCCAATCCATCAGCATGTCTTACCTAGATTATTGTAACCATCTCCTAACTGGCAGCTGAAGAAGCATTGGAAGGCAGAGGCCAGGGCATCCTCTATGAAATCCCAGCACCCTCATTCTTCATTCTCATCTGCCTTGCCCAGACTTATCTTTTCTATAGTGTTTGCCAATATCTAACATAATTTATATCTAATTAGGGTTTTTTGTTTGCTCTCTTTCTTGTAAATGAAATAAAGAGAAACTATCAATCTTCCACCTGTTGTTTCACTCTCCAAATACCCACCACAGCCAGGGCTGAGCCAGGCCAAAGCCAGAAGCCCAGAACTCCCATATCCGTGTCTCCCGCATTAGAGGCTGGGAACCAAGTACTCGGAACATCATCTGCCTTTTAGAACACACATTAGCAGGAGCCTGAGCAGAAGTGGAACAGCTAAGACTTGAACTAGCATTCCAAGATGCAATGTGGGTATCCCAAAAGGCAACTACACTGCTGTACCACCCCCTACCCCCCATTATTGCTTTCAGTGCCCCCGACCTGCCCAAGTAGAACACAAGCTACATAATGACAAGGGCATTTTCAGTTTTGTTTATCCTCGTGGCCCAACACCTAGAACAGCAGACACACGATGGGCACACGATAAACATTTGTGGAATGGATGACTTGTCCTTTATTTTCTTCTTGCTTGTGCTCAGAATATTCCAATGAACCTACCTCATCCTGTGGCCATAGCAATCATATTTTAATACCAATTACCAGGACGGGTCCTCCGACACACAGCCTGAGAGTGGGACAGATATTTGAAATTGAGACAGAAGGGCCGGCACCTCTGCTCACTAGGCTAATCCTCTGCCTGTGGTGCTGGCACCCCGGGTTCTAGTCCTGGTTGGGGCGCCAGATTCTGTCCCGGTTGCTCCTCTTCCAGGCCAGCTCTCTGCTGTGGCCCGGGAGGGTAGTGGAGGATGGCCCAAGTGCTTGGGCCCTGCACCTGCATGGGAGACCAGGAGGAAGCACCTGGCTCCTGGCTTCAGATCGGTGCAGTATGCCGGCCATAGCGGCCATTTGGGGGGGTGAACCAACGGAAAAGGAAGACCTTTCTTCTCTGTCTCTCTCTCTCACTCTGTCTAACTCTGCCTGTCAAAAAAAAAAAAAAAAATCGAGACAGAAACGACCTGGGGAAATGATTACTGTTCTGATGGCAATCCTGTCTCTTACATTTACACTTGGTCTAGAACTAATGTTCTCCTAGTTCCCATGAGTCTTTCTCATGTCCATCCTACACTTCTTACTTGGAATTCCAAAAGCTGTTACTATTGTTTTAAAAAATTATGGCCTCACATCTATACTTTGCATGCCTCCAGATTTAATCTCTATCCCACCTTTTATCCCAGTGTGCCTGTAGCCCCCTCAATGTTTATCTCTCTTATACCCACCATTATTGTTGTTTCAAAGAAAGCCAGGCTTTCACAGGCCATAGCAGAGAGCTGGATGGGAAGTGGAGCAACCAGGACTTTACCCGCAATGCCACAGCGCCAGCCCCTCGCCATTACAGTTGGACATTGGTTGGCTACCAGATACCATTTAGTTATGCCCCACATATTTTCACACCCAACAGGTTTGTTTTGTTTGTTTGTTTGTTTTTGTCAAGCAACCTGCCTTGTGTATGAGGACTTCTCTACACTTACACACCAGAAAACACTGTTTCACTCAACACTGAATATACAATTGTGATCCCGAGACGGTGGTCCCATAAAATTCTGTGGCCTGACATTTGTCATCATCTCAGTTTGATGCTCACACAATGACAGTCACCTAATGACAGTTCTCAGCACATATGCCCATCATTCCATAATGCATGACTGTGTTCGTTCCAAGCTCATAAAATTTGGAGGAGGATGGGCCCATTCTTTAAGTAATTGAAAACAAGCCACTTGCTGAAGCCTGTTCCCATGGAGGAATGCTGACTTTATCGAAACAGTCATGAAAGTCAGGCTGCAAAGGGTGGGAGGAGGCTAATTTTAAATCTATAAAGATAGAGTCCGGGTTGAGACTTGCTCACTTCAGAAGCTGCTTCCTTTTGGCAACTACAGATGGCCTTTTGAAATGGTTACAAGGATGGCTAATTAAAATCACAAAAACTAGTTGTCTGTTAGTTGGTAGACCTAGTAAGATATTGTGATTGAAATTGGGTACATTTAAACCTGGAACCAAAGTAATAAAGTCTTTAGCAACCACTGAGTTTCATCTTATATCCTGTCAATGACTGTCTCCTCTCCCATATTTCCTTCTAACAATTGGAGACAGAACCAACTGTCATCACTACAACAGGGAGCCCATAAAAGGGCTCCCCTCTGTCACTTGTGCTTTCTCCAAAGGAGAGCTGTCTACATGTTCCTTTAAATGAATGCAATTGGAAGATCTCAGTTCCTTCATGACACATCCCTATTCCTCAGGATTCTTACAGCAGGCAGACTGTTCTGAGACCCTAAAATTGATTGATCTTAGTGCATTTACACAGGACCAGTCCTTGGTCCATTATGATTGCCCAAGTGAGTCCTTTTATATGGAGTACTCTCTATTCAAAATAGGCTTTGACCTTGATTGGTTCACCTCCTAATCAGAGTAGGTTTGGCTCAAGACAAACTGTCAAGGAGGCTCCAGTGGTTAAGGGTTTCTAATAAGGATTTAAGGGGTAGCCTCTGGTGCCCGACCCAGTTCTGTAGCAATTAACATAAGGAGACTTTCAGGAGGTCCTTAAAGAGCTGAGCTCTCTGGCTTACGTCGAGGACTGAGGCCACATGGCTTCCCATTCTGTGTCTGCTTCTGTCCTGCATGGACTGATTTGCATGCTCACTCGTCTGCTTCTCTGTGGGCCTGTCAGTGCTGCTCCACAATGACAGCCTCACCTGTCACCCTAGCCATGGTCTTCCAACCAAGTACAATCAGGAGGTCTCCGGCTTTCTATTCCATTCTCCCCGGAGACAACCTGATGGCAGTTATAAGGTCAACCTTGTCTCCCTAGACCCATCAGCTACATCTGGAGAAGCAGGGCTATTCTGTCTGGAGGCAGAGTAGGACTTCCAAAAAATAAGTCAGAAGAAAATGATTACTTAAGAGAGAATGGAAGGCTTGCGCTGTGGCTCAATAGGCTAATCCTCCACCTGCGGTGCCGGCACACAGGGTTCTAGTCCCGGCCAGGGCGCTGGATTCTGTCCCGGTTGCCCCTCTTCCAGGCCAGCTCTCTGCTGTGGCCCAGGAAGGCAGTGGAGGTGGAGGATGGCCCAGGTGCTTGGGCCCTGCACCCCATGGGAGACCAGGAAAAGCACCTGGCTCCTGGCTCTTGCCATTGGATCATCACGGCGTCTTAGCCTTCATTCGTGTCACCTACTCAGACCTACGGATGCCTAAATAAAATGACATGCAAAGGGAAAGGAACATATCTCCAGGTGGTGGACTATCTAACTGTCTACTCTGCCTGATTGTGTTCTTTCAAAAAGACAAATTATTATTAAGACATATTAGCTTAACGAGGAACTATATTAGATTGAACTTTCGACGCAGAGAGATCACGTTCTTAAGAAGTGAACAACATATGTTTCTGGTGTTGAAATTAGTTTAAACTATAATCAGGTACTCAGCTGAGCCCACTTAATGAGACTCATCTGTGTGAATTCCAAGCAAAATATGAATGTGAGCTGTGAAAGCAGGCTATGTTTCTTCCTATTTGTTAGAAGATATTGCTTTAGGGGGCTAGTGCTGTAGCATACTGGTAAAACCAGCCTGCCATATGGGCACTAGTACATGTCCCAACTGCTTCTACTGCCTGATCCAGTTCCCTGTTAATGGCTTGGGAAAAAAAAAAC